GTACTTCGGTTAAATTATCTCACCAACGGTTAAGCCATCCACTTATTTTGGACGCTGTGCTCTCAGAGAGATACTACATTTGCCCTAATAAGGATAAGAACTAGAGGAAAATACAGAATTAACTTAGGAAAAAAAATCCCCTTAAGTCCTGGTGTGATTTGTATTTTATTAATAAGAATTCTCGGGACAGTCTTCAAAAATAACAAAAATGAAAAGGAATTAACAATCCCCATTATGTCAAATTTCGGCTATTTTTTTAAAACTACGCAAGAGGCAATCATGGTGGTCTCGAATGTCAAGGCAAGTAATTTTACATTATTTAGCAAGTTGTGCTAAAATTGATAAGATTTTTTTGATTTAAATTATACCAGATAAATCATTACTGCCACAGTTCATTTTAACAATTAATGAGTTCCGTCATCCTCAGAAGGGATCACTTTTCATTGCTACTAAAACTGGGAGCAGAAACTGGCACAATTTACCAGATTCCCCTAGAACTGACCTAAATAATATCTGAAATTCATACAAAACTTGCGATTACGAGAGGAACCTGTAAGAAGGTAATAGTTAGTAAAGGAAAGTGCAATAAATAGAGTCCTGGCTGAATTTGAATTCAGCCAAACCTTGTCTAAGCTAATCTGTGATTTAAGCAAACTTATTAGTCCTTCCTTAAAATTTACGGGAACAAGTTTAGGCGTGGTTTATGCCGATGCGAAGAAAATATCAAAAGCACTGTTGGTGTTATCATTGGTAGTTGAGTAGTAACATCTTGTTATATGTAGAGTACTTGTAAATTTTTTGGCTAAATTAGACCTGGCAATAAAAAACACTTCATGTAGCAAAATAAATTGAATAAAATTAAATTTGAAGCCTGATGAGATTAATTTATGGTGCTTAATTAATGTTACGTAACATTCACACATGGTGATTCGAAATCATGTTGATGAATTTAGAAACACAAGTGAACAAGATCACTTGGCAGAAGATGCTTAAGAAAACAAGGTCTAAATATTACGATTCCACTAGAAAGAACAGCTACAAAAATCGAAAACTGCTTACAACTTTGTAAATTATTTTAATAAAAATTTGTAGATTGCTCTATTATATTGAAAAGAGGGTATTCACTGTTGTTTATAGGTCATGTTTAAGTAATGTAAAATCCAGATATCAGCAACGTTGTTTTGTGTTAATATCGATGAAACAACAAAATTTTAATTTACATTTCATAATTGTGTTTTTGAGGTTTTAGTGGCGGTTGGGTGTGCTAAAAATCCCATTTTTACGGATATCAGATTAATTGTGAACGTACTGGTGCATGTAATTCCACAGCCAATAATCCTCCACGTCGTTTACATGTCTAAATGCTTCAGAATTAAGCTCCTTCTGATTGTGCATAATAAGCTGTTGTATGCAGAAGTACGAAGGGTGATAAAATAGGCAGTCTCAGCTTCTCAGGTTCGACCTTCCAGCACAGATGTGAGTACGACTTAATGTGCTTTGTGGATGCTCAAATTACAGTTTTTAGTTAATCCGAAAAATGAATTGCTCATAATAGTGCCTTCTCATTGTTTTGGTCCAGCAAACGTTTTGCCTTATAGTGGTAGAATATGCCAACATTTTAGAGTTTCATTGAAAAAAATCTGCGACAACACAATCAGGACATTTTGGAAGTTAAAATTAGGAAGATCTATTGGTTTTTTATTATCGAAATTATCGTTGCAGACTCTAATGCGGCTAGAGAATCACACCAGGGCCGACGATCTACACTGACACGGCCTGACCAAAAGAAAAGAAGAAATGCAGATATTATGTAGCTCAACTTATTTATTGATGGAGTGGTGGTGTGTGTGTGCATGTACAAGGTAACAAGTCAGTTTATATAGTCCTGCTACAAATCGATCCCTGAACGTAGTTACGTGAAGTGCCTTCAAGTAAATCGATTTAGTCATGTTCGCTCACGTTTGCTATGTTTGCTTGCTGCTCGCCACAACATTATGGGTAGGACTGGATTTGATTAGTTTGACTTCACGCTGTTTGGGATTAAGCTGGATAACAATCAATCAAACATTTCCTTATACCGTTAAAACTGAGGGCAGTTATTGATAACAGACCTCACACCATACTTTAGTGTTGTCAAACTTGGCGGTTTTTATTAAGTTATACTTGGCATGTTGGAAAGTAACACAACCGCCATGTTTATTTTAATTTGAAACAAATTGTAGTGAGTAAAAAGCCATGAATTACTAAGCTATTTATGCATTCTTTCACAACCTGCTATTGTTATCAAAGAAATCGAAGAAAGTATACACTCGTTACAGCTTTTTGCAGCCAAAACCTTATTTCACTTCCACTGTGGTATGTGTTTGAATGTGGCATTGCATGGTTCTCAGACATGGTTGAAACATGCTGACCCTAGAGTCATTAAAGTTCATGTCTGACGTGTTACTGGGGTTTGTACATCCCAGGACTTCACTTTCCATGTAATTGGCAACTATTTTTCATCAACAATTCATTTTCATGCACAAAGTTCTTGAAATCATATCAGTTGTCCCGCGCCTCAAATGTCCATTGGCCTCTGAGTGTAATTTGATCATAAAGGCACACAAGGCAGCCCATGACATGTGTGAGTGGGCGCATTTGGTCATGAACTCGGGCTTTAGCAGAGACAATAAGGGGTTCTGCAAAAGGTCCTGTTTTGCCCCAGTTTGAAGAAGCAGTGGCTCATCCATTGTTTGACTGTTCCTATGTTGGGATGATGGTGACGCACTTTTGACTAGGGGTTCGAATATTTGCACTACGAGCTGTGTCGGGTCATCACTTGCTATGGCACACAAACCACTCAGTTGATTCGAAGAATTTCACGATTATCAAGTGTAGTTATGTGCTTAACATTTTTCGCCTTGTCGAATTATATACTACATTCGGAAGAAAAAAACAATTAATTAGGGATAAAGGAATCACTGTGCGCCATGCAGATGTTGTGTTTCCCCGAACAGAAATGAAAATATAGGCTTATTATAATATTAAGGCTTTTGTGAATTTAGGTGTAGGATTGGAAAAATACATTGTAAAAAAATATTAATTAGTCTGTTCGGTTTACTGCCCCGATTACTCTGGATTCGATTAGAATAGGTTCAATTGCATATTTAGCATAGCAAAATGATTTGCACTGTTTTTTTTAATGTTAAATTCGTAGAATGTGTTGTCGATTAAAAATGGACCCAGCCACCACTTTGACACTTTTATTATTATATAATATGTAATATTGGCTAAAATTTAGGTTTATTCAAAGTATCTGAATTGTAAATGTCAGTGTCATAAAACAGAAAACATTGGGGGATACAACTTGCTTTTCTTCAAAAAACATTGAAGTAATTTGTTACGAGCAAAATGGCCAAATTTTAATTCCTTCAATCACACTTAGTGCATTTCTAAATAAATTTATTATATTCTGTAATAATATAAAGTTCGTATTTCTGGCGTTAATAGAAGCGCCTGCAATGTTTCACTTTCGTTAGTTTCATAAGCAAATAATAATTTAATCCTCGATAATAGAAATTTAGAAAACATGAAATTGCCAATTTTTTTCGTGTTTCCTCGTTTATTTTCAGTTTTTTATTTTAAGAGGAAGGAATATTCATCTAAAGCTAGAATAAATGTCCTGTAAGTTGAAAGTACATACTGCTTAAAAATAAAATTAATGATTGCGAAATAGAACAAGAAATCCTTCTAGATTTATATTTATTCGACTCGAATTCTGTATACTAAATCTTTACTTTAGGTCCCTTAAAAAAGCAACAACACAAGGCCGGTTTCCTAATTCATCAAGTTAATTTGGAGTTTTTTTGATTTACGATAAACTTAGAAACTTGAATAACACACAAGAGTCGGCTAAACTATCTGTATAAGGAGATTAAGTCAATTTGCGCACATTATGGGGCTAAGTTAGTTCGGCAAATTGAAATTATCCTACAACCATGGACATTCCGTAACCGTTGATTTTCCGTTTTTAAATACACCTAGCGTATGGGATTGAATTTTATTAAAATGGATATAATAAAGGCCGAAATTTGTGGGAATAAGTTTTGTTCAGTAGTAAAATCAACAATGCTTTTATTTGTTTGCACTAACACTGCTAAAAAATACAACCCAGAAAAGGTTTGATCTGTCACCCATCGGAACATATGCTAGCAATCCACCTATGGTCATTCAAAAGGGGTGTAGAAGCTTGAAACTTACCTTTGTACAATACCTCAAGATTTAAAACGTTTTGCATGCACTTCTTATAAGCATTTGGACCAGAGGAAAGCCCACATACATTGATCCTCTTCTTCTTCACGTACAAAGTCGACACGACAAATCGCCTTATTCTGCAAACGTTGTGCACAGCTTGGCACTTAAGTAAACACGGGTCTGTCGCAATGGTGCTGGAGTGCGTTTTGCAACATCAAGAAATATTTGTTATTTCATTTGGATGTACTGCTTCGTTTTTGTTTAAGAAACATACGTGTTGGTTGAATGCATCGTCTCCAGCATATCTTTGATTCAGTTTTAACAAGGACAACAAAGAATTCCAATCAGTATGTATAAGTCTAAATTCGATTACTAGCATGCTTTTAAGTAAAATTATTTGTTTGATATTAAATTTACTATGATTGGCTTTAGTGGTGAAAATTGAGATAAATATAAAATTTTCAAATTATTAAGTAAATATTTTAAGGAATTGCCATGTTCTCTTTTAAACAAGACTCTAAAGTCATTTTTTGAATTATTTAAGCCTCCTAACGTATATAAAATTTAATTAATCAGACAAATACTAGCTATATTACTTTATTTATAGACGGACATGGAGCTTCATACTACCACTCCAGTTTCAGTTTCCAAAAGTCAGGAAATAAGTCAAATCGTGTTTAATTTGTGATAATCAATAGCAATTTCACGTCGATTATTCAAAATATGAAAATCATTTACTAATTTTTGGCAAAACCATCCGTCTCCAGTTACAGATACGCCATCCCGTAGCCAAGCTTTTGCAAAATTCGGACTGAGGATTCGTGGAAGCTATCGGCCTCCTTCTCCCAGTTTAATCGGTCCTCTTCTAATCCCTTCTCCATTTTTTCAGCCATATCTAGAACTACTTGCTCAAGTTGAAAATGGAGTGACTGCAAATGGGCCTCGAGCTTAGAAATTTGCTCATCTTTTTCCTTTAGTAAATCGTTTTTTGCTTTAATTATTCGATTTGACTCTGCCTTTAAGTCAAAGTTCTCTTTTTTGAGTTTAGCAATTGTCTCCTTCGATTCATGCACTCTCAGAATGAAAAGGCGTTGAAGCAATTTATACTGAGCATTGACACATGCAGTGGCGAGTTTGGCTTCGGTGGTATTAACTGTGATATTCTCCCTAAGTTGTTGTATCACCCTCTTAGCCTCGACCTTATCGGCCTTGAGATTGCTTATAAGAGCTGTGCTGACTGCCTCACGCAATGTCAGTCCATTTATCTGGTTAATGGCGATGCCCAATTCCTTGGCTAAGTCTTGGGTTGCACTGTCAGTTCGCAGGTCCTTCTTCTTTGTTGGCAGATTTCGTACCGCGCGTTTCATTGAGGTACTCTTAACTTAAGAAAACGCTTTATCAATCTCCAAGAGAGGAGCGCTCGGCTTTGAAAATAGCCAGTTAGTATATGAATGTAGGGTGGAAAATCGATAGCTTGTGCATATATGTGTGCAAATTTAAAATTGTGCTGTTTCTTCAGAAGCCAGATCAATGGCCGCTGACAAATAGGGACCATTCCATGTCTCTGACTTTCTGTTTTTCAGTTAGTTTTTAATATAGCTTTTGTCACAGACAGCGCTTTACATGTTTATTTTAAACTTTGGTAGATGCAACCCTTAATTTACTCATGTGATAAATTCCATGTAATGTTGTCTGCAGCCATTGCTTTTGGGTACAAAAGAAAAGCTTCGATTCATTTTACTCTTTCTTCTCCCTAACAATAGAATGTTGGTGAGGCACACATGGCAATCGGTAGAGCCTAGACTGCTGATTGCTCAAAAGAACGCTTGTGTCAGAGCATGTTCAAAAACGATCGTGCTTCGAGATTCATAAGTCTACCACCGAAAACGGGGTTGCACCAAGGAAAGATTATGTTTTCAATTCGGTGGGATACAAAGGTTTTGCGTTTTTGAGCTGTTATCATGGAGCCAGACGACTGATTCAGATTTTTTTATGTCAACATATGGCGATATCGGTATAGGAAGCAATCAAAGGAAAATGATTGAGATCGATGGAGCCCGATAGGTAAGTCCGACAAATGTCATGTGAATCGTGGAAAACTGCTGGATCTTGATTGAGAAACCATGTCTTTCAATGTCTGTCTATTCGTTATTTCAATGTTTACATACATTTAAAAGCGGAACTTTAACGATGAATACTAGAAATAGCTGAGGATTACATGAGCACTAAAAGCTTGCAATAGGTAACTGGACAAAACAGAAAGTATGCATAAACTAAAGTTATTTATTTGGAAATGTAATTGCTTTTTTTTAATACTAAGAAACCGATATAATGTTTTATCGATAGATAATTTTGAAATCGTAACTATTTTTAATGAGACTGGTGTGATGTAATTTGATGTTGAAACTTAATTTGTCGATGTCCTTACTGATAAAACCCTCAAACGTTCAACAACAGTGCAGTGAAATTTTCACAGATTTTTGCAATTTAAACTCTCGAGGTCACACATTTTAAAATAATTCATTTTACATGCATCGTTACCAAGGTGAATGTATTAAGTTCACGGAATGATTAAATAGAGTGTGATCTAAGATGAAGACAAATTTTTAGGCCATTACCACGAAATCTGGTGGTCAGTGATGGTTCATTTTACAGTTACTGCTAAACTCAAAATAACAAATCTACTGGGTTATACTGGTATAATAGAATTTTTTGTTCTCCTAGGCCAATAATGTCGCATGGAACGTGCACTTAGTCTGTTTTACATTCGTTCCTCAAGCTCAAAAATTTACAAAATAAACGAACTAAACTTTACCCTCTATGTACCAGGTTGATTAAACATTGAAGCGGCCTGACAATTTCATATGCCTCAAGATTTTACGTGACCTAGATGAAACTAAATAATTTAATTAAATGCCAGTTTGGTATGACAGGGAAACTCCATGTCCCGAAGTAATCTGACAGCAACGCTTTCAATGTCCGCGTTTTCCTTATGCGTGAATTTTTTTCAAACTAAGGGTTCGGCAATAAAGAGTGATGCTCCAGTGTGTGTGTGTGTGTAAGTTGAATCAACAATATTGATCACCATTTGTAATAAAAGAACCCTTCGTCATGTACAGAATCAGAATATTTTAAAAAGAAATCACTGACTCTAAAAATAAATTGTGTGCTTACAAACTGCATAAAACCCCTGTTTCTTTTTTTAAGTCCTGAGAATTATAGAACGTCAAAGCGATATGCACTAAAAACCACGATAAAGTTGCGGCAAGAGCGATTTTAGTAGGTTGTGTCCGATATAGTGATACCATCAAGGAGGATTAAATTCGTCTAAGTAACTCTTAGCCTATGTTGAAAATGACGAAATTTTTAAAATGTAATGTAAAAATTTTTATTCAGCCAAAAGTCAGAGACTTTTCAAGCTTGATCTTGGAGGTCTCATCCCACGTACAAGTTCAGACGCTGGGATGGTGCACAGAAACAGCATGAGTCAAGATTCAACCAGAGAAGTTTCGTTTCGTTTTTAAATAGACGTAAGTTCATTTAGACTCCACCATCTTTTGCTGATTTAAATATGGGCTGTAACAAGCCACCTCTTTTAGAAGTGTAGGGTTTAAAACACTCTCTGGCTAAAATGAAAACAAGGATAAATTTAGTGAATAGGTCATGTCTTTCAACAATACTGGCGAACACATTACTTAATTGTCGCTGATAGGAGAATTTCACATCGATGGGTTTTGAAAGTGAACTTTAGTAAGCCAATTTATGACCATTAGTTTGATATTTTTAAACATGAAACTTAAATGGCGTAATTGCACTATAATATGAATTGAAAGTGACACAACCACAGCATGTAAGATGTTAGTAAATTTAACGTAAAGGGAGTATCCACATTTTTACTGCAAACATTAAACTAATTTTGCTGTAGATTTTAAAATACCAGTGTATTACCGTCAAGCAAACAAATTACTAACAATAATGGTCGATGTGAAAATTCAGATCCTGAAAAAGTCCACTATTTCTTCCACGTATTTGCACGTAAAGAACAGAAGAAATGCTACTAAGATCTAAAATCCATGCTTAACCCACTCAACATTTCTGCCACATACGAATACATTGTTGAAGCAATAAATACTAAAAAGAAGCACTAACCGATTTCAAACGGTCCCGTGACCTCTTTTCGACTTATCCCACCGCAATTTGTAACCACTTCTCAAGTGGGAGTTTGATCATTTTTCCATAACTAAAATATCTGAAGGTACTTGCGTGTGCTGCAGGCCATTACTCCATATTGATCGTTTCCTGCCTAAACAGTTTAATACGTTTTTGTAAGGTTCCGCTTAACTTATTTCGCAGTAGAAATAAAGGTGAAAATCAAATGGCCAAGGGAAAAGGGTTGGGTGCCGGAGGATTTGCTATTTTATGCTTTTGCGCTGCCTGTTGATTGACGTGCAGTCTAGCGTTGTTGCAGTAAAAAGACGGGGTCTAGTCGGCTTAACATGTCTGGACGTTTGGCTTGAATTTTGACACTGATTTGCAAGTAAAAATTACTCCTCTGCCACCCTTCATCAGACACTCAGGAACACCTCCATTTAATGTTTCATTTTTAATTTTTCATTTTCTTTCTGCCCTTCCACTTCCACGATTCTAGTTTCCTGTTCCTACTACGCTGTAATCTCTAAGCATTGTTCAGTTTTTTGTATCGTCAAAGGCTTCGGACTCCATATATCCAGGTTCAATGTGTACCTACTTTGCCTTAAATGGCGAATCACAAATGATTTGTCAACAGTTAAATTCTCAACGGCCTATTCAGTGTTATCCCGTGGATTATTATTAACTAAATTAATGCAGGAAAGGGTCATACAGAGCAGAGTTTACAGCTTAAGTTGAAACCGTTGTTCTTACATCTGTTGATTCACGTTTCGACTGTCTTAAAAACACTAACTTGATCCAAAATACCGTAGTGAAGATGACCTGTCTCCGTCAGAACACTCGCCGCCTTTGTAAACCCAAGCAACATAACTTGAAGAAAATGAAGCCATTCATTATCCATTTTGGATATTAATCTTGCATCCAAATTGGGCCAAATAAGCTGCTTTTAAAGTCATTTTGATGCACAATGCACCTAGGTAAAAGTGTGTTATGAATCGTGTTGCTTCACATTTGTTAACTCTATCACCACAGACTCCGACACAGGCTCTCCCTTTTCTCACTATGTCGCCAGCCTCGAGGATCCTTAACTGCCCCTCATTAGTATGAACATTTATCCCGGATTATCCTCACACCTAGGTCTCGATGTTAGCGCTTGTATGACTCACACATCAGAGGTATAAATGCACACGCGCAAACCCCAAATACGACACAACGACACCAATTTTGTTGAGCTCTGAAGTAAACGGTTGTGTCTACGTCCTCTCCGGTCATTTCCTTCATCGAGGTCACCAGGGAAGCGCAATCGGGCAAGAGTTAATTCAGTGGCCCCGGCGTGGATCAAGACTACATGCTAGGGCCCACAACAAGTCAATCAAAAGTGATGATGACACACGACAGGCCATGCGATTCCAGACTTGACCTTTGACATTTGAGCAGCACCAACACCTACACGTGGTCAATTTTGCTTAAAATAATATACTTGCCTCTTAGATCTGGCCGCCAATTATAAGCAAAAATTTTTATTCAATATATTTACTTATCTTGATGAGATATCAAGTAAATTAAAATAGAATTAATTTTCCTGGTGATCAGATTTTGTCTTGATTCGAACCCTCGAGAGTGACCCGATCAGGACCGTTTTTATAAAGGCTGGTAACAAATAGTCAAAACGATCTTACTTCATCAACATCGAGTTTACCGAATCGAAGCCATAAAAATATTGTGGATAAATTGAAACAGCATTGCAAGAGTTGTGACCCATGCAAACTATGCTGGGACTAACCGTTGTAGCAACCTATGATTATTCTCCCACTATTTAAAGCGTGAACTTCCGAATTTTTTAGTATTACATTCTCCTCAAGGCGCAAACACTGTAACTCACGAAAAGGTTAGGGCAGATCGCAGGTAACGAAGCGAGATTAAATGAAACAATTATAGATTTCCTTTTTAATGTCTTTTAACAGAAAATATGCTTAATTATCAGACTAATAAATAACTAGCAAAATAATTAAAATGAGGCTGGGTTATTTTGCTGATTTAATAGAGCCTTATGTAAAATGCAAGTCCACTTTTTGTGATAACTGTCACAAGCTTTCAGGTTAACCAAACTCCAAAGTGTGATTTATAAACTCCGAATAAAATAATGGACTCCCAAAAAATTTATGGCCAACCAGATTTTAATTTGGGTAATTGTTGTTCAAGTTTAAAAGTACCTAAT